AACAATATATTTGGCTTTGGTTAATGCCTACGTATTTGAATTTGCATGGATAAAATTATATTTTTGAATGTGGATTTTTTATAGGGACTGATGTTAAAATATTGTCAACTTTTTTCCTGCTTATACTTCCTGTTAGCCTCCTATTGAATGAGATTGACAAACCAAATTAAGTACAGTTAATATATTTTCATTGTACCAAAGGTGGTGAAATATACAGAAGTAAAAATAATGTTGAAAAGCAATCCAAAAATATTTGGACAGGCGCCTTTTCACATGGCAGTTAATTTCTGTGTTTATATGTATAGGCACAAGTGCATGGATGTGTGAGCCTATGGCTGTTATAAAAGACATCATTTCATAAACAAGTTTTATATTTTTAGCAATCAAAATTACATCTAGATATGTTTCTAGGCCTTATACATTACTTTCATACTGTCCTCTTAATGATTTAAACGAACTTTGTGCATGTGTGTGTGTGCATGTATAATTTCCTTTTATGCAGTTCCATGAAGTTACCCTTGAAGTCGTTTCAGGTTTTCTGATAGAGGCCCCTCTGTCCGTGCGCTTTAGTGCTGTGCTGCTTAGCTGTTTGATTCTTTAGGTTCACTTCTAAGCTTGACCGCCTGAGTTCAGGCGCTTGCTGTGGTGTTTCTTAGCTGTTGGACCAGAGGCCAGTTGTCTGTGACACAGTTTTACCTCTGTAACATAAGATGGGCACAAAACTTCCTCAGATGACTGTCATGCTGGTAACATGTTAGTACATGTAAAGAAAGCATTGAGTAACACCCAGCATGTTAGAAGTGTTAAAGCCTTTAAGCCACTGCTGTTACTATCATCACAATGTTTAGGTTCTTAATTTTATTTAAAGCTTCTGTGGACACTGTCATCTCTGGGGACACGTCTCCTGCTCTACTTCGTCTACATATGGGACATCACTCATTATGAAGAATATAGTATCTGACACTTATGTATAGAGCACACAGTGCTGAATTTGTATTTGTGTGTTTCGTGTGTTGTCCCCCACAGTGAAAAGTGCACAGATTTGGAGCACATCCAGCCTGTTATGGAAAAGCATAATATATTAATGTTAAAGACACATAACTCACTCAGATTCCATTTATTTGGATCCATCAGAACATACACTTCACCCACATCTCCCCCAAGATCTCTGTCTCCTTATTTCATGTGAGGATCTCTCCTCATGCTCCTGCATGAAATGTGTTTTCATTTCAGGGATGGCTGACCTTCAGGGATGTGGTCATCAAATTCTCCCAGGAGGAGTGGGAATGCCTGGGCCCTGCTCAGCGGGCCTTGTACCGGGACGTGATGCTGGAGAACTACAGGAACCTGATGTACCTGGGTGAGGATGGCGTTCCTGCAGAAGTGGGGATCGGCTATCTTTGCACTTCCTCTTGTTTTCCTCCTAGAAACCCTTGCACTGCTTGACTGAAACCGAAGCCCCTTTGAGACATGGCGAGCTTTGTAATATGGCTCCGGACTTTCACTTTACTCCTTTTTCGGATGACACGTCTAAGATGAGTGTGTGTAAAGCCCTGTGGTGTGCTTTCAAAATAGCCACTTTCCTGCTTTCTGCCTCTGCTTTTCATTCAGTAGTTCTTGGAAGAGACTAGATATCCCATTATTCTACTGTTCCCTGTGCTTCAGGAGGCTGGAGGAGTTTGTGAAATAGGTTTCTAGACCTCTCTGTCATGTCCTTCCTCTCCTCAAGTGAACCCAGAGATAGGATTCTAGAAATGCCACAGCACATTGCATCCCTTTCTTCTTTATAAATCAGAATTTTCGCTTTCTGATCTGAATATGATCTCCAGGAAAGAGCCCTGGACTGTGGAGAGTGAAAATTGCAGAAAACCAAAAGGCTGGGATTGTATCAGGTTGTGAGCACAGGTGGCACTTGGAAGGACAGAGAGGAAGGCCCCCCACTGAGAGTTTGGGACGCTGTCCTCAGAGGGGAGGGTTCTGGGAGCCCTCAGAGGAAACGGCTCTCCCCAGCGCATCACTCTGAGGCCTCAGCATGTGAAGTCTCCCCTCTCATCCCTGGTAGTACTGGAGCTCCTGTGGACACAAACACAAAGTCCACGTCATGACGTGTTCCCTGTCCCAGGGCTCCTGTGCCATGTTTGGTCCTGACCTCGCCCAAGCAGGCCAAGGGCATGGCAAGTTCAAAGTGGTCCCCTTCCTCCCGGGCCTCCCATTCTGCCGTTGATTCCTCTGGATGCGCAGTAAGTTCTCGGGCCACAGGGACAGGGGCGGAGGCTTCTAGCTCCTCCGGCTTGGTCTTCCTACTTCCAGCCCAGTTTTCTGTACTCAGGAAGCCCTGGTCCGGAGGTGGGAGGACAGGGACTGCACTCCACTCCGTCCAGCGCCCAGAACCCGCACAGAGCCGCTTCAGGCGCTCTGGCACGCAGGTCCCTCTGCCACCTCTGATGCCCTGCTTTAGCCCCCTTGGGGGTTGTGCGGGGGGCAGGCAGGTCTGATCTCTGTGATTGTTTTGAGCACAACTGTGAACTCAGCAGACAGGGTGGGCCTCTCTGGGGTCCCCGGGCCTACATGGGGAGCACCTCTGTCAGGCTCTGAGCTTGGTGTCTGTGGGAGAGCACACGGTCCCTCACAGGTCCGGGGTCATTGAGCCCCTCAGCTGGCGTCCTCTCTCTCCCACTGCTCTGCCTCGTGGGGGAATGTGGAATCTTCCTGATCTCAAGCATTCTTAACTTTGCATGGTTTTGCCTCTGAACCATGCTTCGGAAGTACGCGTTCCTAGGGTCTGGAATTTCATCCTACTCGTTTTCTGGGGTAATTCACCTCTGCTGGGCCCTCACGTGCCGTGGGTTGACCCGGTGGCAGAAGAGCCGTGGCGGGGGCCTCGGGCTGCAGTGTCATCCAGGTCCCTGCAGAAGCACCCTGGAGGCTGGGCTGGAGGCTGGGGGCGTGTCCCGGATTCCGAGCTGGAAGTCCCAGGAGAGCCTGGCTGACAGGTGTGCCCAGGGCTTTCCCAGGGTTTGTGGGGTGTCGCAGGAGGAGCCCGCGGGCTCTGCGATGTGCGGTCACACAGGCTAATGGTCACCCTTAGTCCCCTTGAGCCACAGTAAGAGGTGGGGAATGTGTCCCCGGGAGAACATGCCCAAGGCCGCGTGCCCCTCCTCCCACTGCTGACCGGGCCGTTGTCCCTGTGACAGTTCCACCCCGTGTACACCGCTGTCCCCTCCACGCAGCAAGCACGGCTGTGGGGCACCTGACGGAGGGAGCTCGCGAGGGGAGGGACGTGCTCTCTGAGGGCCACTGTCACCCGTTCAGTGTAAGCCACTGCTCGCATAAGATGTGTGGCTTTTTCTCTGGTTTGTTTTCAGTTCTTTATACGTGATTTTTAGGGTTTTTTCCGTTTTTATTTATAAGTACAAGTTGAATATTCTAAAAGTTACTCTCTCTGCCTGGAATTACCACATCCATGCTGGTATATTGACTTAGTACTTCAGTATTTCATTGTATTTACAGGAAACTTAGCCCCTTGCTTGCACTTTATCAAGTTCTCTGCTTTCGTTCATAGCACCTATGTTTCCTGTGAAGTTTCTGAAGTCCTGGGTGCTCGTGAAGCTGTTAGGTCGCCGTCTTTCCCTCTGAAGGTCGTTTCAGGGGCCCCAGGGCCCTGGTGCCGCAGCCCCTGGTGCTGCCCTGTTGTCCTCTGGCCCTTACTTGCTGTGCGTGTGGCTCACCTCGTGTGTGCACATGAGCCTGCTGTGTGGGTCTCCAGGCCGCAGCCCCAACCTGCTCCTGCATGGGTGCTGCCCCGAGGAGCACCCTCAGTGAGCACCCTTCCCCGTGTGGGCCATTCACGTACTCTCTCTGCAGCTGGCTTTTCTCCTGATGATGTTTATAAACGCTAATTGAATAATATGGGGATGAGTGCACATTAGGTGTCTCAGATTTACAGTGGTGACTGTCCGAGCACCCCTGGCATCATGTCTCGTTTTTCACTCATGTCAAATGACTTTTATCACCACTTACATTGTTGGAGCTGAGCAGTTAAAATATGCCATTATTTTCTTCTTTTCAATACAGATTCCACTGATTACCACAAGTATTAAAATTCATTTGCTTACTTCCCGTATTTTGTTCTCCCCAACCCCTGGCAATATCCTACTATTTCTATTTCTATGAATTTGACTGTTCTAAATACCTCTCGTAAGTGGATTCATATTTTTTTTTGTGACTGGCTTATTTCACTGAGCATAACATCCTCAAGGTTTATCCTTGTAGCGAATGACAGAATTTGTAAGCCTGTCATTCTTTGTGTGTGTGTATATATGTACAAATATATATACACGCACACACGCACACAGCCACACACGTATATCCATACATACTTTACACTTTGTCTGTGTGTCCACCCATGAGTGGACGGGTGGCTGCTTTTACCTCGTGACTAATGTGAACGTAGTGCTGTGAATTTGGGGGCCCAGAGAGCTCTGCAGTCCTGCTTCCGTTTCCGTGTCTGTGTGCCGAGAGGCAGAGCTGCTGGGTCCCACAGTGCCTTGGTCCCTCCAGGCTCCTATGACTCAGTAACAGGCTGGATGGCTTATTAACCATAGAAATTTATTCCTCACCGTCTGGGTGCTGGGCAGCTGAGATCAGGGTGCCGGACTTCAGGTTCTAGTGGGACGTGCTCGGATGCAGATGCCCACCCCTTGGCTCGTGTCCTCTCATGGCAGACGGGGCCTGGCTAGCTCCCTGTTCCCCCTCATGAGGGGCTGACCCTGCCCATGAGGACTCTGTCCCCCCAACCTGATTACATCCCGAGTCCCGCCAGTGTATTTTTGAAGGTTTAAATATACAAATTTTAAAGGGACACCAACCTTCAGTCCATAGTTTCGTGCCCCAGGCCTCCGAGATGTCATGTACTTTTCAGATGCCCAGTACGTGCATTCCATCCGGTATCCCTGCAGGGCAGCTCATTCTGGCATCGGCTCCACAGGCTAATTCCAAAGTTGGATGTAATCACCATCTGCATCAGGTAGACGTGCGACCCGACGGAGGATTCTTCCCGAGACACAGTCCGTCCACTGTGAGCTTGTAAACTGGAGCAAAATACCTGCTTTCCAAAGTCCAGGTGTGACAGAGGCATAGGATAGGTGTTCCTGTTGGACAGGGGAGAAGTAGGGAAGAAGGAAGTGTTGATGGACCCCAGACATGTCCAGAACCTGGCACGGCAAACTCCATGAGCTCTTAAGGCTAGAGAACAATCATCTGTGTCTTCGTGCTCTGCCCTCCAGGCCTGCCCGACAGCAGACTTGCTCTCGGACCCAGTACGTCTGGGGTTTTGCCCCACCCTGAGTTCTCCTGGGCTGGGACTGTGAGCCCACAGGTTTGGGGCAGGTTCTCTGGCTGTGCCCTGCACTTTGAAATGGACGAGGCAGCCCTGATGGCCTCTGAATTGCCTTTGGGGTCACTCTTTCTTTGTGTTGAAGAACAGCGAGTTTGCAGCCACGTAGCTCCATGGTCCTGTCTTGTAAAATCCGACCGTTCTTTCCTTCGTGTCTCCTTTCCTTTCAGTTCAACTGGCAGTTTTCCTGTGGGCACCGTACCTAAGTCTGCAGCTCACTTGGTACTAACGGAACCGTAGCTCGCCCACACCTCAGTGATCTCCCGCACGCGCTTCCTCATGTCTCTGCAATGTGGTCAGACTGAGGATTTCCAGATCTTGATGTTCTACTTGCTTTTTACGTAATAACTCGATCTTCAGGTTATTTCTCTCATCACAGTTAACCATAAGGAGCCAGGAGAAACCACGCTGCTACTGAAACCCTTGGCTTAGAAAGCTCCTCAGCTAAATACGCTGTTTCATTGGTTGTAAAAACTGTTTTCTGTAGAACTCTAGGACATTAGCACTAGTCAGCCAAATCTTTTCCACCATCCAGCCAGGCTTGCCCTTTCCACGTTGTACAATAAAGTTCTTCTCATTTCCTTCTGAGACCTCGTCAGAATGGACTTTACCGTATTAGCGCCACCGTTTGATACAGGAATAGGTAAGTATTCTCTAAGAAGAGGGGAGCTTTCTCTACACCCGTCTTTCCTCTCTGAGCCATCACCAGATTTACATTTAACTTTTCCCTCACGGCAGTATCAGCTTAGAGCATGCACCTCAGAACTTCCAGCCTTTACCCATGACCCCGTTCAAAGCAGTGTCCATATTTTCAGTGTTTGTCACAGCAGCACCCCTCTTCTCAGTACCAATTCCCGCCTTAGTCATCAGCCCATTGTAACAAAATAGTGAAAACTGGGTGGCTAATGGTGTTCATTACATCATTTCTTTCTCAGCGTTCTGGAGATGGGAAGTCCAGACCGGGGCCACTGGGTCAGCTGGGGATCCCCCTTCCTGGGTGCAGCTGCTGAGGACTCGTGTCTTTTCTTGGCAGATAGAGAGAGTATTTCTCTGTCCTCTTCCTGTAGTGGTACTACTCCCACCCATGAGGACCCCATCCTTACGCCTCATGGCCTCCCAAGTGGCCCACCTCCAAGTACATGGTTAGATTTCAATGAGTGTATTTTAGTGGGGTACAAATATACTTAGTTCAGGACGTATTCCAATTCCATTTTTAGTTTTTAAGGAACTGCCCCACTGTTTCCCATTGCAGCTGCTGCCTTTTACTTTTCTACCAGTAGTAAATAAGAATTCCCATTTTTGACCTTCCTGTCAACATCTTTTTCTGCTTTTTGTTTTGATTTTAGTGTAGCCATTCTAATGGGTGTGAAGTGATGCTTCATTGTGGGTTAGATTTGCGTTTCTCTAGTGGCTAGAGATTTTGGACATCTTTTCCTATGTTTATTGGCCATCTGCATGTCAGCTCTAGAGAAATGCCTGTTGGGTCCTTTGTGTGTGTTTTGATTGGGATGTTTGGGGGTTTGGTTTTGATTGATTTTTTACATCTTCATGATCCATTCCAAAGAGGTTCTATTTTTCCGGGAATTTATCCATTTCTCCTAGGTTCTCCATTTGTTAGGTATAGAATTATTCGTAATATTCTTTTACAATCCTTTCCATTATAAGATTATAATCAGTTGAGTATAATTCAGTTGTAAAGGATGATGGCTCAGAAACCGTTTCTCGGAGGGACAGCTGAGCAGCACCACTGCTGACACAGCTGGGCTCTTGCATCTCGTCCCTTCCAGTATTTCTAAACTGTAGTCTGTACTGCCTGGATGGGCAGTTACTGTCAAGAACATTTCTGAATCGGTAGGTCCAGGATCAAACCCCGTTTCCCTCACAGTAGTATGCTTACTGTCAGGTGGTATGCCCTTTGCAGTCAGGGTGTAAAAAATATCCTTTCTTTGAGAGCTAAGATGTTTGCACAACATGAGTATTTGTGTTGTAGGGTGTTTGAATCTAGGTTGTTCTCTAACATTAATTGGAAATATAGGTGATCACTGTTTAGTGAAGCTCTGTATTCTTCTCGGGTTCCCCCAGATTGGAAGATCCTGGTTGGGAAGTTTCACAATCTGTTTAGTATATTACTTTTGGTGTAGTTATGCTTTCAGCCTGAAACATATATTTACAGAGTAATAGTATACCTGTGGTCCTTTATATCTTATAGATACTTGTTCTTCACATGTGAACAAGAAGTTACAACCAAAGGAGGATAGTAATACAGGAATATTCCAAACAGTGATGTTGGAGAGACATATAAGCCATGAAGTCAAGGATTTGCACTTTAGGGAAATTGAGGAGAATCCTCATGACATTGAGTGTCACTGGAAAGGTGATGAAAGAAAGTACAAAGGAATGCCTATAATCCATAAAAATCATCTCACTGTTACAAAACATCAACATAATGGAAGGGATGCAGAAAACAAGTCTATTGAAAATTGCCTAGGAGTCAACTGTCAGGATGAAGTGTCTATATTTCAAACTGAAGTCGAAAATCATGACTGTAATGAAGTTAAGTCTCTCAGCAGTATTTCTTCATTTTCACCACTTCTAAGAATTCCTTTTAGTGTCGAAACCAACAATTCTAAAAAATATCAGAAGGATTTTGCACATTCTTCAGTAGACACTCAAGAGCAAAAATCACACAAGGGAAAACCTTGCAAATGCCTTGACTGTGGCAAAACCTTTAATCAGGTCTCACACCTGACTGGACATCAGATAATCCATACTGAAGAAAAACCATGTAAACGTGACATATGTGCAGAAGTCTTCCATAAAAATTCATTCTTTGAAAATCACTGGAGAACTCATACTGAGAAGAAACCATACAAATGTCATCAGAGTGCCCAGGCCTTTAGTTTAAGGCTGAGTTTGAATTCCCATGAGGCAGACCACACTGGCAAGAAACTTTTCAAGTGCACAGAATGTGGCAAAGCCTTCGGTCAAAATGCAAAACTTAAAAATCACATGAGAATCCATACTGGAGAGAAACCTTTCAAATGTAATGAGTGTGGCAAAGCCTTTACCCGAGCCTCAAACCTCACTACACATCAGAAAATCCATACTAGAGAGAAACCATATAAATGTGACATATGTGGGAAAGTCTTCAGTAAAAATTCATACCTTGAAAATCACCAGAGAACTCATATTGGGGAGAAACCATACAAATGTAAGGAGTGTGGCAGAGCCTTTAGTTTGAGTTCAAACCTAACTAAGCATCAGCTAATCCATACTGGAGAGAGACCTTACAAATGTATCGAGTGTGGCAAAGACTTCAGTCAAAACTCACAACTGAAAAAGCACAGGAAGATCCATGCTGAAGAGAAACCTATCAAATGTAATGAGTGTGGCAAAGCCTTTTCTCGCCCCTCAAGCCTTAGCAACCATCAGTCAAGCCACAGTAGAGAGAGACCTTACAAATGTAATGAGTGTGGCCGAGCCTTTAGGTTGAGATCAGCTCTAACTAAGCATCAGGTAACCCATAGTGGAGAGAGACCTTACAAATGTAATGAGTGTGGCCGAGCCTTTAGATGGAGATCAACCCTAACTAAGCATCAGGTAACCCATACTGGAGAAAGACCGTACAAATGTAATGAGTGTGGCAAAGTTTTTTGTGATAACTCAACACTTAATTGTCACAGGAGAATCCATACTGGAGAGAAACCTTTCAAATGCAATGAGTGTGGCAAAGCTTTCCGTGGAAACTCAAAACTTAATTTTCACAAGAGAATCCATACTGGAGAGAAACCTTTCAAATGCAGTGAGTGTGGTAAAGTTTTCCGTCAATACTCACAACTTTATTATCACAGGAAGATCCATGTTGGAGAGAAACCTTTCAAATGTAATGAGTGTGGCAAAGTTTTCCGTGAAAACTCAAAACTTAATTTTCACAGGAGAGTCCATACTGGAGATAAACCTTTCAAATGCAATGAGTGTGGCAAAGTTTTCCGTCTATACTCACAACTTTATTATCACAGGAAGATCCATACTGGAGAGAAATCGTTCAAATGTAATGAGTGTGGCAAAGTTTTCCATCAAAATTCACAACTTAAATGCCACATGAGAATCCATACTGGGGAGAAACCTTTCAAATGTAATGAGTGTGGCAAGGTTTTCCGTCAAAATTCAAAACTTAAATGCCACATGAAAATACATAGTGGGGAGAAACCTTTCAAATGTAATGAGTGTGACAAAGTCTTCACTCAAAAGTCACAACTCAAAAACCACAGTAGAATCCATACTGAAGAGAGACCTTACAAATGTAATGAGTGTGGCAAAGCCTTTAGGTGGAGATCAATCCTAACTAATCATCAGGTTATCCATACTGGAGAGAGACCATACAAATGTAATGAGTGTGGCAGAGCCTTTAGGCGTAGATCAACTCTAACTAAGCATCAGCTAATCCATACAGGAGAGAGACCTTACAAATGTAATGTGTGTGGCAAAGCTTTTAGGTGGAAATCAATCCTAACTATGCATCAGTTAATTCATACAGGAGAGAGACCCTACAGATGTATTGAGTGTGGCAGAGCCTTTAGGCATAGATCCACCTTAATTAAGCATCAAGTAATCCATACTGGATATAGACCTTACAAATGCAATGAGTGTGGGAAAGTCTTCAGTCAAAACTCAAAACTTAAAAGTCACATGAGAATCCATTCTGGAGAGAAACCTTTCAAATGTTGTGAGTGTGGTAAAGCCTTTGCTCAAGGCTCATACCTTACCAATCATCAGAAAATCCACAGTGTAGAGAGACTTACAGATGTAATGAGTGTAGCAGAGCCTTTAGGTATAGATCCACCTTGGATAACCATCAAGTAATCCATACTGGGGAGAGACCTTACAAATGCCCTAACTGTAGCAAAGTCTTCAGTGGGAACTCAGAAGTCACAGGAGAATCTATTCTGTAGAGAAACTCAAATGTAACAACTGTGGTAAAGCATTTACTCAAGGCTCACTCCTTACTGATTATCAGAAAGTCCATAATGGAGAGACTTACAAATGTCATGATCGTGGCAGAGCCCTTAGTTTCAGATCAACCCTAACAAAGCATCTCCTAATCCATACTGTAGAGACACCTAAGAAACCTAATGAGTGTGGCAGAACCTTTATGTTGAAATCAACCCTAACTAATCAGATAAACCATACTGGAGAGAAACCTTCCAAATGTAATGATTGTCATGAAGTCTTCAGTCAGAGATAATACCTTGCATATTACAGGAGGATTCGCACGGGAGAGAAACCTTACAGGTGCAGCATAGGAATGCCTTCACTCAAGGCTCAAACCTCAGTACACATCAGATAATCCATTCTGGAGAGAACCTTACAAAAGCCACTGAAGTTGACAGGGCTTTTAGTGTTGCCTTAGACTCAGGCTTCACCAAATAGTTACTACTTAAAATCCAATTAATGTGGGAAAGTTGTTTGTGCTCACTCCTCTCTAGATGCAAGAATCTTTGTCCTGGTGCTCACCTCTGGAGCAGGACGCCTCACTCCCTCCACGAGTGTGCAATTTGCGTTATTAAAATAACTTTGGTTTTACCTGCTCCACCTGGCTGGTTAATTCTCTTGATCAGAGTCATGAACCCTCCTTCAGGGTTGAGGTTTCACCCAGAGTGCAGGGATATCTACCGAAACTGATTGCCCAAGAACAGTTTGGTGACTGCGAAGCGCTTCCAAACATGGCACTTACTAATAATGGTTTCTAACAATAATCAAGTAAGTACTGTATTCTGGACAAAGATCAGACTTCTAAATCATGAATGAGCCAATATAGAATGTTGGGATGCCACATGGTCACATAGACAAGCCTATCCTAAGGACAAATATTCAAAGAAATATATTAAGCAGCATATACACTGTGCCATAATCAACCTGTATTTAAAAGACCCTATCAAAACCCCAAACCCTAAAATCTTTAAATGCACCTCTATTTTCTCAGGTTTCCTGCATGCCTGAGTGTGTACTTTGCCTTTAAGCAAAATCTTGCTTTATTTTTTTTTTTGCTTATAAAAAAAAAGTGTGTGTTCTGGAAAGATACCATAGAAATGTAATGCATGTCGTGAGGACTTTATCTAGTGTTCCAACTTTGAGTCACATCCTCGAGCAATAACTTACACATGAATTGAGTGAGGCAAAAGCCTTTTTCTGAGTTGAAGACTTCATTTCATCAACAGAGGAACTATAAATTTATGTGTCAGAGGCTTTAGATGGTCCTCACCATGTAGGAGAGGTCGTAGTGTACAACTTGAGAGAAACCATGGAAAACTGCATGCTAAAGCTTTTACACAAAGATCAAAACTGGATTGCCAGAGGATTTATACCAGAGCAAACCTTGCAAATGTTATGGATGATATGAGGCATTTCCTCAAATGTCCACAGCTTTGGAGGAATGAGACAACTTGTGAAGGACAGAAACTATACAAACTATACTGATCATGGAGGTATCTTTAAAAGATAGTCAAATAGGATTCACCAAAAAATACTGGGGAGAATACTTTCAAATAGAATGAATATGTTGAGTTTTTTTGTTTTTTTTTTTTACCAGCTTTCCAAATAGAACACAGATCAGAGAACCCATAATAGGAATAACTGTTTTTAGTTCTTCAAGACTAACTGGTGGTGGTCCATTCTGCAGAATAATTGTAAGTCAAAGTGTGAGTGTTACGAATCATAACATGGTTTCGGACACAGGAACAAGGGCATACATGCCAGTGGTCCATCATCTTTATAAAATATTATTTGAGTTCTTGAGAAGGCTACATTACTTCTAATGACGTTCAACCTGAAGTTTGAAGAGTGTTGATGTTGGGCTTTCCTTGAAGGCCTTTCCTATTAATCACTGGGAAGGAATCATAAGATGAAAGGTTCTACTTAATTAAATATGGTTCATTCATGTCGATGTTCCCTGGAAAATTAGGACACTGAATTTACAAATTCCTTGTATGAATTTGCTTGGGGTGAAAGAATAATGTAAAACTATGCTTTATTATGTCAGTAAACACTTCTCTAGACCAGCCATGTAAGAAAGGGTTAGAGCAAAGAATGCTGCACACGCGGACCTGGAGCACAGCAGGCCAGGGCAGTAAGGAGAGGGCTTGGACCCGTGGAGAGTGACAGGTAAGTAGAGAGTGGTTATGTGGTAGAAATAATGCAGGAGAAATGGTCACTTTTTCTATTGAAACGCGCTGGCTGTTCTGTGTCAAGTGATAAATGAAAACTTGTCTTTTTTCCAACAGAGCAGTTACTTGAGAGGAGAGTTAGTTTATAGAACCAGGATGGTGTGTGCATGTGTGTGATTCACATTTAACTGCTGGCATTACATTGCTACAGTTTTTATTCTCCTACCATAGGGGTCCTGCTTTCATTTATAAAATGTGAAACATTTTTACAACCCTGAATGAATCATGTTCCTTCTACGAACTCAGCTTTATCCAACTCTGTAGAGTAGTTCTCCCCAAAAACTGACAGTGCACCTTATAGCTTCAAGGAATCTGTCAATTTATTTTCCATGATGGAATCAAAGAACATATGATTTGGGGATTATGTACTTAAAATTTTCACTTGAGTTACTGTCTTCACACTCTGCCCCAGGATACTATGGCTATCCTGAGAACACCAAAGCACATCGATTTCACACTGACCCCCTAAACCCTGCCCCTCGTTCATAAATATGCACCACGGAGTTACATTTCTTCATGTAGTTTTTTTGTGTGTGCCTAAATAAAATTAGTTATATGTACCTTGTTTTATGTGAAATTAAAATAGGAATACAGTAACCATATCTAAAAATTTGGAAATAAAATTCAGAAGTAAGGATAAACATAATACAGTCTGTTTTTGTGCTGGGAACACTCTGTGAAATAATTCAGAACCATGTGCAACTGGAATTTTCTGTTCATTTGGTAGATAAACTGGGAGTTTCAAGTGTTCAAGGACCTACACACTCTTTGTTAACCTGCACTTGTGACCATCCACCGGAACTGCATAGGATCCCATCCATAGTTTCATTTGGATGTCGGCACTCATGATGCCAAAATTAAAGTGGTAGGAGAATACTTGTTACATTATAAAATGATTTCTAGGATTTGAACAACATGGGTGGAGCTAGAGGGTATTATGCGCAGTGAAATAAGGTGGAGAAACACAAGTACCAAATGATTTCACTCATTGTGGAGTATAACAGCAAAACTGAAGGAACAAAACAGCAGCAGATTCACAGACTCCCGAGAAGGGACTAGTGGTTACCAAAGGGTGGGAATTGAGGGCGGGTGGGGAGGGAGGGAGAAGGCGATCAAGGGGCATTATAATTGGCCCTCACAATATAGGTAGGTCACAGGGAAGGCAGTGTAGCACGGAGAAGAAAAGTGACGACTCTATAGCATCTTACGACCCTGATGGACAGTGAGTGCAATGCGGTCAGGGGAGAGACTTGATAATGCGGATGAATGGTACTGTAATTAAAAAAGAAGAAAAGGTGTCTACGGAGAAAAGGTTAGACTGCAAAGCTGGTCAGTAAATGGGTTGAGTGAACAGGGAGTGGTGACTGGCCCGTGTATTTCAGTGGCTCCTGGGTGGGTGTCTGGGCAGGGCGACCCCTGTGGTTTGAGCTTCAGCTGTTACTGAGGGAGCACCGAGGGCTTTTTGCCCAGATAGAAGAGGGAAGAGCTGTGTTGAGGCTTTGACGTGTCAGTAGTCAGTCACCTCTACATGGAGTCAGACTCTCAGTGAACACTGAGTGTTTACTCGTGAAGGTCTTTATTTCTTGGTTGGAAAGACCACAGTTTTCTTGATGCAGATTTTTTACATTTCTCTTCCTGCTACACACACATAGCTTTCATCGAATGCTGCAGTTGTTGAAAATCATTGTAAAGTAAATTGCCTAAGATGTTTTTACTTCAGTTTAATGAAAATTAATGTTTGGGAAAGGTTTTTAGATAACATTACTAGGGAATTTTACTAGAAGAGCACTTTCCCAGAGGATATTAAAATGTTGATATTAGGGTAGCAACTGATGCATCACATGATTCACTGTTAACTGTGGTAAAAATATATAATTTTTCCTTAACAATTTCTTTAATACATCGTGACTGTGTTTAATTTACATTTTTCCCCTATCTGCACCAAGGGATACATTAATCAGTGGGTTGTATTTAGACTTTGGCGACAGGAAAATGCACATAAGGCAGTGACGGGTACAAAGTGTGGGGGTTTGTGTCCTTGAACAAAGTTCCTTTATGACTTCAGTTGAGCAAAAGACTTTGAATGGCAGGATAGTGAATTTAAATCTCTTAATATGCGATTGGCTTTGGTCAGGTGCTTGGAAATAGAATGTGTGAAGGATAATAACAAGCATGCCATGAAATAAATGAGAACATGAGTAAGATAAAGCCCCCCAAATTCCATCTAGTTTGTGACAAAGGGAGAATCTCCATTGCAAATGTCTGGAGGCTGTGCTGCTTTTTCCCAGTAAATTCTCTTCATATTCAGAGCCAGATGGTCTTGCAGGGAAAATGAGGTTTGTCCTGTTACCATGGCTGCTAACATCCAATATGCTCCACTTAGAATTAGTTCCCATCCAAAAATGGGTAGATAATCCTCTCTTAAGTGATCTTAATTTTGATAGTACATTATCAATTCTGTTATATTTAAGTCACATTAATTTATGTATTGTAACCTATTTATTGTTCAACTGTCTCTGTTGTAATGATACACCTCCCCATATGTAGGAACTTAGAACAAAGATAGATTCGAACTCAGTCACATCGCAGCAAGTGGCTGAATTTGAGTCCATCCATCTCATCTGCCTGCAAACCATGTGTTACGTGTTTTTTTCATATGCAACAATAATAGTATACACTATTACTGCTATTACAATGCAGCAGTAATAGTGTGTCTCTTTCGGATTCTCAGGCCTGATTCCACTGCTTGTGTTCCAGCCCCTGGTCTGCAAGCACAGATTCCTTCCAGTAAAAGGATTGTACCCATCCCAGCACTCACACCTGGTATGACATTTACATAACAACATTAGGACCAATGCAAAAAGGCTTGACATTTGGGGACATCAGTGTGGGTGAGTACAGACTTTAAGAGACCACTCATTTGTCCTATAACGTCTTATGACCAGAGTTTCAGACCAATGTAAGTCCAGCTTGCAGGCTGTCATTCATCCTTGTCAGCTACCAGAACCAGAGGTGGTCGTGACAAACAGAGCCTTACCTTTCAGGGCATCTGGTATACTTCTGCGAAGAGATTATTCTCTCTCTCTGAGCCTCTCGAGGTATTCATAAAATGTTGGATTTCCCTCATTGCATAACCCACATTCATCCCACCACCATCAGCTGTAATTTCTCCTCTCCATTTGTCATTTATCTTTACCCAGACTCTCCCCCTGGGGAAAGGACATGAGAGTGGCTACTGTGGTGGTCCAGGCTGTTGGCAGCAATACTAGTCTAGAACGTGCCTCCCCCGCAGTCCGCCCCTGCTCATGTGAGGTCCGGTTACACAGGAGCAGAGCTAGCGGGCTGTCCTAGCCCCTGACAGCACAGCTGTGCTCACTGTCAGCCACCACCTGGCCAGATGGGGGGAAGGCACAACCCACCCCGTCAGGCCCTTAGGGATTCTGACGTAAAGGGTTTGCTTACAGTTTCTTGCTTAGTAATTTTCTCTGATTCTGGGACTCACAGTTGCAGCCCTAGTTCTGAGAACACTGCATCTAGGAGAAACACAGTAAGTTGCACCGAGGTGAGGAAGAACTGTGGTCATACTAGCATCCCAAGCCCACCCCCTTCAGATTCCCCAGAAAAGCAGAGGAATTCATCCAGCAGGGAGATCCCTCAGCCCCCTCATGTTAGGTGTGAGTGCACACTCGTAGGTATGTAAGCCAGTCCCTCCTGCCTTTATCTCCCCCCATTTTATACAGCACATGTCTCAGCTGCCCATTTCAGTTTCCTATTGAAGTACTGTTCTGAGGATGACACGCAGCACGGTCAAGTGAAGTCCCTGGGCCACTGTTGGACACCATGGACTGTGAAGTGCATCCCTTGGTCTGAAAGGATGTAACTTGCTAGTCCAGGTTTGCACAGTATCTTTTGTTTCAATCGTTTAATGTTATTTTGGCATTTGCATCTACCACTGGGTATGCAGTGCCCAGTCCAGAATAAATGTCTATTCCAGTGAGGACCTATTTGCAGGCACCCGGGGCTCCTGTCTTTGCTTCACTGTAATGCACCTGCCTGCTATGTGTGGAACCCTCTCCCCCGGGAATTTTCCCCATAGCTGGCTGCGGTCTTTGTCTCTCTTGTTTACACAGTTCTTGGTGACATTCTGTGTCTCACAGGGTGCAGGAGGACTGTCTAGGTCCAGCCCATGCGGTCACTGCTGCAGCTCACCCATGCCCCACTCACTTCACAGACCCAGGTGGCCGCCCCATGGGAGCACCCACAGGTCTGCTTGGTGGCTCCAGCCACCTTCTTATACTGAAAGGCAGTTTTTCTGATGGGCATCGAGACCTCCTACTCTAATGCATCCCTGTAATTCCCAGAGTGATTTCCATAGGGCTGCA